ATTAATAATAAAGAATTGAATTGAATTGAATTGAATTGAATTATTATTATTATTATTATTACGATATTCTCACATGAACTCTAGTAGGAAAAGATCCTCCAGTCCGAATTTACCAGTGAATGCTCCTACCACAATTGCTGTGCTGTGTCTATGAAACTGGCCAAAGATGTAGATGTTTTGTATCTTCTATATGTATAATTTAGAACAAAGTCTTTATGTTTTGTCGGCGCATGAAGATATACAAGCAGTAATATCAAGCTATCGATCCCGAAGCAAATAGTTCAGCAGTGAATGTGTAACGAAATCTACTTCATTAAGTGCTAATAGGAGAATCCTTTTCAATATTCTCCACTTTACAAATGTATGTTCTTTCTTCCTCTTCCACAAAAAAACATAGTTTCCTTTCCACGACTATTAGGCAATCTGACCTACATGTATATTCTGATGGTGGTGTACTTCGTTACCTCCATAACCTATTGCAAAGCAGGGTGCGTCAACGATATCTACATAAACGAAAAAGTTAACTTCTCGAGATATGTCCTGTCTGGCTTAATATATATGTACAGTGGTCTGAAAATCACTTTTTATGGAAGCTGGTTGATATGTATCAGAGAGAGGCACAGTGTGAGTGGTATCATTTTTAGAGTCGGTGAATATCTCTTTAAATTAAAATTGGCTCTCAGTTAATTCTCTCTTTCACCTGCATATTTGGTATTTCGAGAATTATAACTTTGAATCACTGAGATGGAATTGCGAAACAGCTTTTACTAAATACGCTCCTGCTGCTGATATCCGAGCCCATTGCATTTCAATGTAACCCAGAGCTTACGGACAAACTGACACGTCCGAAACTTAGTATCTGAAACTTAACGGACATTTACTGCTTAACTAACTAACTCAATTATACAGAGGTCTTTGTGTATTCTTGTGGTTTGAAGATCTTTTTGCGCAATTTATTAGGATAAATCTCGAAATATTTTCCATTTGTACGCAGTACCAATATTTTTATGGGCACATTTTCTTTCTCTCATCTCTTGCCTCGCAGATTATGCAGGAACGGCAACTGCCTGCGTCTATTTACACATCCTGTCGGCTAATTTGTTTAGAGACAGACGTTAAGTTTATATTTCACATGAGCTAAAAACTCTCGTATAATTTAGGTTTTACGGAAAAATTGTATAAATAATTTACGACTGTTTTCACATTAAATTTTACCGTTAGTCGTGTACACACTGCTCTGCTGCATCAGGTGTTTCTTGTGGTGTTTCGTGTTTCAAGTCTATTATATTTCATCTGCTGTGGGGAAGAATCTTTGCTGAGCACTCATGATATACGATTCTAAACCTTAACACCAAATAAATAAAATAAAGAGAAAAAGTATATAAAAACGAAAAGAATAATATAGGATAATTCCATTAAGGATGGAACACAGTTCGGTGTTCGGCCTTTGTTAGATACGCGGTTCCCATGAAGGTGACTACCAAGGATATTCTGCCTCAAACTTCAGAGTTTTATGGATCTTTTTGGAAAGTAAAATATATGAAAACATGATTAGAAATCATTATAAGCATATAAGATAATTTCTGCGGTATATATCCCAAACTACTTAAGTATTTCGATTAAGTTGGTGTTGAAAATTTAGACTAAAATCTGACGAAAATTTTCATTATCTTCTATCACATGCAATCTATGCCTTAGCTGAACCTCTAATCGAAACCTGTTCAGAATACCTAACATTATCAGGAAGTTACTATCAGAGAAGCCGCTGCTGAACCCATTGCCACTTCTTTCAGAGTTTGTGGGTCGCAAAGCCTGTCCACGCTGTTTCATTGCATAAGTAAAGCAAACATTAATGATGCTTCTAAGAAGCTGTAGAGACACGAATGAGAGAGCGGCGTGTACCCTCGTATCATAACAAGAAAGGCTAAGTATATGTATACGTCGATTCTTTTCGATTACATTTGGAACTGAGTGTCTACACGAATATTGGTTTATTGTGTCCCTTGCTCGGTCAAATCAAACACTGTTTTTAAAGAGTTCTCATAGAATAAAAACTATATATGCATTATGTAGTACATACCCCGTGAAGCTTTGAAATTCAACGAGTCTCTCCAGTGTGTCATGTTCAGTGTGATTAGCTTTGCTATCACAAATTTGAATTTAAAATAAATGAATATTAATACAAATTCGGTACTGTTGCAAGCAAAAGAAACCCTATTAAATTACATACACTCCAGCATAGCACGCCACTTCAGTCTTCGTATTTCATATTCCGAATATATATATAAATATACAGGATGTCCCAGGAGGAATGGACCAAACTTCGGGAGGGTGTTCCTTATGTTAAAGTATGCCGATATAACCCAAAACACCTATGTCCAAAGTTGAACGGTTACGGAGATAATGGCCAGAGAAGTGTCAAACTTCGACCGGCGTTGCACACTTGTTGATTACAAAATACATATTAAAACTGGCAGGAATATGTGGATTCTGTAATGTTAATAATGTATGTAACATCAAACTAACTTGTGAGTGACACGAAGCCATAAAATTGAAGTACAAAATACTCGCTCGCCATGTCATAATTGTCCTTAGGGTTTCCAAGCACTATACATGACACATGAATGGCAAGCGCTGACGTAACGTGCTGACTGCGCGTTCTGATAAAAGCCAGCTACATAAGTACGGCTAGGGTGTATCACCGCACTCAAGGACAAACACAGATAAGGCCTCTCAGCTGAGAGGTATAATCCGTGGACCTGCCAGAAGACCACACTTTTCTTGGGCCATTATCTCCGTAACCGTTCAACTTTGGACATAGGTGTTTTGGGTTATATCGGCATACTTTAACATAAGGTACACCCTCCCTAAGT